AGTGACTCACCGAAATTTATCCAATAGCCTTCGGGTACAAGAACGTTCCAAATGGTTTCCAAGTAGTCCAGGATGTTGTGCGCAGTATCAATGAAGAAGACTGTCGCCACGCAGTCCCAGGAGGCTAGAGACAAAAAAGGTTGAGAGGAACAGTTTAGGTGAATCAAGTGTACGGGGTAATATACCCATTCAAATCGCAGCAACATTTTCTACTCTTGTGTGTGCGTTGCCGAATGTCATGAGTAGTCTGTTAAAATGAAAAAAAATTCCCACTACCCGCAGTATAGTAAAGACATTTAGGAAATCTTCTAGAAGAGGAGGGCAACTCAAGGCTTGGCTTGACAGCATTCCTCAAAGTATGGAAGCGGTTCTTGGACCTTTGGTTTACGGTCTCTGTCGCGGGAGAAGAGATTGGGTGGGGCTTTCCAGATCCGCTGCCGACAATCCTCATGTGTGGAGAGGTGCCGTCCGTGAGATGATCAAGCATGGTCACAGCCATACCAAGTAAAGTACTGGAAAGGTCCACATTCCTCCCAGAAAAAAAGTCAATCTCACCAGAAAACCCGTGCGCTCTTCCCCTTGCGTGCGGACTGCCTGCTAATTGTATGCTGTTGGCAGCCTCTCACCAGTGGCTGCGGCTGCAGTGCTTATCTGGAACCTGATTGGTTCGACTCTCTGAGCAGTGGCTCGACTCTCCTAAGCCCTTCTTCATATAGCGAATGGGACAGAATCTTAGCCACCTGAACGCGATGTCATAAGCATACGTGTTTTTTCAATGAGAATGACACACTGGTGTTTAATGCATTTTCTCGTGGTCCTTTTGGTGTCTACGACAACGGTAGAACAGGCATACGCTATGCGTGATTTCTGAGTATCAGACCGGGTCATAACAAGACCTACCATCGGAAGGGCAGGGGCCACAAATAAACTGACCTAGCATGATCTGAAACCGTTAGAGGGGGAGAGGAGAACGAAGCAACTGATCGAACTTCAAAGCTCGAGTCTGAGGTCGCAGTGTGACGCCTAGCAGATCTAAAAAGTCCAGCATTCATTGTCCTTCCTTCTGCAGTGTTTGTTGCTGTGCTACCGTTCGTGCTCCGCCGCAAAAATCCTGCTGATCTGGCCTCCAAACGCTGACCGTACGGTCACTCAGATTGACTGCACTCTAGTCCGTTTCCAGATTTCGGAGCTGGGGGAGCGTGACGGCAGATCGATGCGAGGTGTAGAGACTGCTAACGCCCCGGGGACCAGATCGCGTTTTCGTGTTCATGCGCCAGCATGCAAAACGGTATAAAGCCGCAAGACTAGGACAACGCTTGAGACCCTGAGCACAGAATTCCTGTCTTGCTTTAGGACTCGAGACGAAGCAGCAGCAAATGGCCAATCACAAGACAGCTGCAGATTTCCTCGATTTCCCAATGACTGGATAAACAAGAGAACCTTACGGCTTTTTGTCTAGATTGCGCTCGAGCTAGGTCCCGCAAGAGGGATTTTACTTCCGTAAAGTCGGCTGCAGATGACTGCGAAAACTATAGAGCGGACCTTAAACGTCGATGATACCCTAAAACTGCGATCAAATTATTCGCCAAGTTAGTGGTAGGCACTTTGCACCCAGTGACTCTATTTGCGGTGTGAATGGCGGCTTTACTGCTGACAACTCGGCCAAGGTTAAGTGATAGCGTGAACACTTTGAGCACCCTCTCAACTTCGATGGATTAACCACCAACGCTGGTGAGGGGCGGTTTAAAATGTTCGGTAGTGTCAGGAGAAGATCCCGCCCCCTTTTCAGGTCAAGATCTTTAATGCTATATGGCGACTGCGCAGCATCAAGACGCCCGAAGAGGACGATACGCCTTAGTGAAATCTGTGAGTCATGTTGACGGTGGCGCACCGGCAGGCGTTCTGATGAATTAGTTTGAGCATCATTGTGGTCGTCTAGGGTCGATATAGAGATTATATAAAGATAGCTTCCAAGCCACAGTCGTCAGCTATATCAACTCTATATCATCCCTATATCAAATCTATAGCATCTATATATAGGGTTGATATAAAGATGACATAGAGGTTATATAGGGTCGATATAGAGTTGATATACAGTCGACGATTGTGGCAAATTGGGTCATTTTAATTATCACGCGCAAATATTCGGTTACTTAAATAAGTTGTAGTGGACCCTAAATTAAACTTCCATCAAATTTAAATGATTATATTGAAAGCGGCGACCGCAATATTCACGGCAGACAGCCTTATCTTTTCGTTGAGGTAGCCCACCTCACAATCTATAATCTGGGAAGTGACAAAAATCCATAAAGCGGTCTGGCATTTCTAGATCCAGACGCTGGTTAGACGTACGCATATGTTCTGTGTGGAGATTATAAGCCCTGTAACTTGACATTTTAGAAGAAATGTTATTGACCAACACAGTAGCTGCCGGTTATTAAGCCCACCTCGGGCCCAGACCAAATTGGGCTTAATAAGCGGCTGGGCCTATTAACCGTGGCTTAATAACCAGCGACTACTGTAGTGGAGACGCTGGGACCGCCAGTTTTGTCTTATCACGCGTACGTAACGTACCACGGATGCAACAGTTGTTTAAGTCGGTTGAAGAGACACGCAGGAACGAGAACAGTGTAGCTGCATGTTGGGGAAGACAGTCGGTGTCCCCATCTCACACAGTTGCTGGAAAACTACCTGCTTTCGACGTTCTCCATGTTAGCACTACTCTTACCTCCTCCTCTTCAGAAATATCGTTTACACCGAGAACGCATCTTTTACATTTCAACCTGTGTATAAATTCTAGTATGGGCTTCAATTACTCCAATGCCTTTCTTATGACTTCTTTGTATGCGTGTGTCAGATTTACTAAACGTTCAGTGATACTATACTCGAAAAAATTACCTCAGTGCTTTACGCCGCTAACGTAATTAGCTAGTGATACTTCAACTTCGGATGCTGACGCACCCGAGGGGCTTGAACCCAGTTCAATTTATGTTAAAATTCACTTCGGTTCTTCAGTCGGGATAGATCGGTAAACGCCATCTAATTTTAGCTCTCATTTTGCAAATATCTGTGTCTAGAAAAAAGGCAACGCTCGAAGTCGGTCGGTGGTGGTGGTGGAAGTGCAGATTGGTGTCGTCAACAAAGTGGCTGACGAGTGAAGGTCATCGCAACGTCTTCCTTTATATTCTCGACTCCACCCTCACCCCAAGAAGGAAATGAAGAAGACGCAGAGGACATACCTGGCTCGGTGTAGACTTCGGAAAAGTCACCAGCAACCATGGAGAACTGGACACCTGGGGGTAGATCAGAGGGGCAGACGTCGGGGATAGTGATTGCGGCGAGCTGGTTATCGCGACACAAATTGTTTGAGGACTGGGTGACCCAGGGGTACAGGGTGTATTGGTTTGGGTCCTTGCACCTAGAAATATTAAATCGGCCGGGGTGATAAAATAAGGTTAGATGTAAGAGTTATGGGAGGAGCTGAGAAGGAGAAAGAAGAGGGGGGAGGAGGAGAAAGAGAAGAAGAGAGGGAAGAGAAGGTGGGAAAGAGAGGAAGAGTAAAGGGGAACAAAAGAGGACGAGGTGTGGGGAAACAGAGCAGGCAAAATGATGAGGCTAGCGTGCGTACGTACGTATTTAGAACAAAATG